AACTAAAAGGTTTTTTTTTTTTTTAGTTTTAATTTTAATGGGTTGGTATATATATATATATAAATATATATAAATATATAAAAGATAATAAAATGAAGCTGCACCAAAATCCCCTTTCCTGAAAGGAGCACTTGGGAAGATTTATTGGAATTTGTCAGATTTTATCATCAACATCATCATGAAGGTGATTCGATACAAGGTGTCATTAATGGTGATAAATAAAAGGCAAGGCTAGTGCACTTCCTTTAGCCGTTTCTAGCACCTAGCCTCAGCCCCTTGTTTTCTCCTCTTCCCGTTCTCCCCACCAAGTTGCTTGCACTTTGCACTGCATTATTTAAACCCCTCTCAGATCTACTTCGACTCTAATTTTAAACTCTCTCTCACCCTCTCTCCCTCTCTATATATATATATATATATATATATATATTTGAAGATTCAATTTTTACATTAAGATATCGAAACATTTTAAGAACACGAATGTGATAATCTATTCGTAAAAACTAATAAAATTAAAAAATATTATTAAAAATATAAATAATGAAAAATAATGTCAGCGTGCTCTAAAAATAATTAAATATTAGTTAGAATAATTTAAAAATATAAAAATTAAAATTTAATATTATTTTATTAATCAATACCATATATGCAACAATAAAAATAATAACTTGATTGAAAAAAAAAAAGTTATTTAGTGGATTAATGAAATTAAATTTGTTTGGAGGGGTTTTTTGGACCATAATGAATAATAATAATAATAATAATACCTGTCTTAAATCCAGCACGAGATTCAACCGCCAATTTAGCGTACTGAATAAAGGGAATTAACTTTTCGAGAATGTGAGCCTCGTCATTTGATAAGAGCTACAACTACAAGCATGGTTTTTGCCAGCCAGAGGCGCCGTGTGGTGGTGTGATCAATCATGCGCCACACCCATGGTGGGTGTTCGCTAATACTGCATCATTTCTCGTCAGCCACGTGTCCTGGCAAACCGCGTGATTAACCGCGTTACCGAATGGGATGGCCCGGAACTATTTGTTTTTATGTTCTTGATAAAGTTTAATTTTTTCCATGTATTTCTTTTATAAAAAAAATTCAGTTTAAAAATCAACCAATATATCGTCATAACAAACGCAAACGCAAATCGAGTATTCATTTATATCTTTTACATGAATGTATTATTTTTTCTATGGTATCAACTCCTTCAGTTAACTATAACTGTCAAATTAAAATTCAATGAATAATTTAATTGGTTAAATATTAAATTTATTTTTTTATAATTACAAAATTTAATTTTTTTTAGAATTACTTAAAACTTATATAATTATTAATTTTATCATTTAAACACCTATATTATTAAAAAATTTATTAAATTAATATATTTTCGGCTATTTTATACAAAAAAGTATTAAATTAAAATTTATAAATATTATATATATATATATATAAAAAAACAAATTTATATAATTATTAACTTCAAAACTTCCTTTTCTCATCAATGTTCATGTCTAGACATACCAAATTCAATCCAAAAATGCCATAGCATTAGCTACATGAAAGCTTTTCTAAGAATAGCCATGGTCACAGCAGCCAGTAGGATAGTGGACACTAGGCAAAGAGAAGGGAAATTGATTCACACTCACACAAAGTGGCCCTTTTATTAACCTTCCATTGTCAGTCCAAGCCCTTTATAAGTCCCCCTCATCTACTCTTAACTCCCTACACAGAAGCTAGAGACAGAGACATAAGATTGATAAAAGGAGTTTTTTTTTTTTTTTTTGTCAATGGAGAGCAGTCATGGTTCTTCTTTCTCTAGCTTGAATTCTTACATTCAGGCCCTGGCTCAGACCCCAGCTCGTTTTGCCAGGCGGGCTGGTTCAGTCTCAACTTCTTATGAAGAAACGAGCAGGGTCAAGGCCAGGTCTGGTTCTGACATGCAAAGAACTCTTCGTTGGTATGACCTCGTTGGGTTTGGCATCGGTGGTATGGTTGGTGCTGGTGTTTTTGTCACCACTGGCCGTGCCAGCCGTGTATGCGCTGGCCCATCAGTTATTATCTCTTATGCCATTGCTGGTCTCTGTGCTCTCCTCTCCGCCTTTTGTTACACCGAGTTTGCGGTTGACATGCCCGTCGCCGGCGGTGCTTTCAGTTATCTCCGTGTCACTTTTGGTAAGTAACAAACACTAGTGTGCTGCCGACGAACTGTAGCACAATTGGCAAAAATGCTTACTGGGTTTTCCTTGTTTTCTTGACAGGTGAGTTTGCAGCGTTTTTAACCGGTGCAAATCTTATAATGGATTATGTCATGTCAAACGCCGCTGTTGCTAGAAGCTTCACTGCCTATCTAGGCTCAGCAATTGGCATTTCCACATCAAAATGGAGAGTTGTTGTCCATGTACTCCCAGATGGCTTCAATGAAATTGATATTTTTGCAGTCCTTGTTGTCTTAGCCATTACTCTCATCATCTGCTACAGGTACCATTAAAAAAAATCGTTTCTTTATAATATTCACAGTATTCTTGGACCAGCTTTCGCTTGCTAAACATGACCAACTTGTTCTTGGTTGACAGCACAAGAGAGAGTTCAGTGGTGAACATGGTGTTAACAGCCTTACACATATTGTTCATTGGGTTTGTGATACTAATAGGATTCTGGAAAGGAGATCGGAAAAACTTCACAGAGCCAGCAGACCCAAAGAACCCATCTGGGTTTTTCCCATTCGGTGCTTCTGGTGTGTTCAATGGAGCAGCAATGGTGTATCTGAGTTATATTGGATATGACGCTGTTTCTACTCTAGCTGAAGAAGTCCATAACCCAGTTAAGGATATCCCTATTGGAGTTTCAGGCTCTGTTATAATTGTCACCGTTCTCTATTGCCTCATGTCTGCTTCCATGTCCATGCTCCTCCCTTATGATATGGTAATTGATTAATTAATCAATCATTTATAATGATAATTAATTTAATACCACTGCAAATTACTTGAAAAATGACTGAAAGTTTCTTGCTACTGGGTGCGGTGGTGGCCATGTAGATTGATGCAGACGCACCATTCTCAGCCGCATTTAGAGGGAAATCAGACGGCTGGAAATGGGTTTCTAACTTGATAGGGATGGGGGCCAGCTTTGGGATCCTTACGTCCTTATTAGTTGCAATGCTGGGACAAGCTAGATACATGTGTGTTATCGGACGGTCCAATGTTGTCCCTGCTTGGTTTGCTAGGGTCCACCCAAAGACATCAACGCCCGTTAATGCTTCCGCATTTCTTGGTACGTGTTTTTATCATGTGGTTGCTTGGTTTTTTCTTGAAAATTATCACCTGTAAGTATGAAGAAATGTTTTGTCATGGCTTTTTTTGTTTTGTTTTTGTTTTTAATAATGAAATATTTGTGTGTGCTCTGTAATGTGGATAGTCTTGGCTTTATCCTCTATGTTCTGGAGTTTGTTCTTGATAGGTTGTTGGTTTACGGGGCCTACTTGAACCGTTTCAGTTTTGCAGGTCGTGATGCATTTATTTTCTTGATTAATGTTGTTACCTCTCATTCCTTGTAAATGGAGCATTAATTACTAGCCGTTTTGCCTTCTTGTTGTTACCTAGACCTGATCGGATTCTAGAACTGACTTGAAAACGGATCTGGATCATCGAATTGTCGAGTCCATTTATGAATCTCCAGGCTTGTACAAATTAATTATTTTATTACAACGGCATTTTCTCCTTTTTCTTTTTTAAATTTTAACTGGAGTTGACATGGCTGGATTTGGTTTGCGAGTTAATATCTTGAAACCTCGTCCAAGTCAAGATCGGCCCTATGGTGCGTTTCTGAGTCAACCAGCGAAGTTAGGCCACTGAGACTAAGGTACAACCATAGCTTTTAGTGAAATGGCAGAGGAATGGCCCTTCGGGTGTCATGTGTAACCGACGAGAGAATTAGAATTGCTAGTTTTTTCCCCGCTTGCCCCGCAGGAATTGTGTAGTCATTACCCAACAAGCAATGCATTTGCTGCGAGGCCATGCATGAAGAATTATTGGTTCCTGTGGGATGGATTAGTATAATTTTACGAGAAAGAATATAAAATTAGTGAGCGCAGCATTCACTTTGTACAAGGTACAGATATGCTGAAAATTAACATTATTTGGTTGTTTGATAGCGCATGTAAGCTTGGACAAATGTTATGCCCTGTAAATTATTGAGGCAGGGTACATCCAAAAGTGTCCCTAATAGGAAACCCTTACGAGGAACTCGCGCTTTGTCTCATTGTATTTTGGACCCTCTGAGCTGGACTATCACCTTGCGAAATTGGTATGCCTTTGCTGTGTAGAAAGTGAGTGAGCATTTTACTATTAGATTCTTCAAATTGGTCTTTCTTGGTCCTTTTTCTCCTGTTCACGTGACTGGTTAGTGTTTGATGATGTGTAGTTTGCATCAATTAGTTAATTACTAGTTCTAGAAGTAGGATTTGTTGTTTAGTTAAGAAATACTGAGAGTTTTATTGAAGACAGCAAGTCTTTTGTAAAGATGGCTGCATTTATATAAACAGATTAGGCGGGATTGGCACGCGTCTCTGAAAAGAGTTGGATGAATTAAGAGGAGAGCACGTGCCAGGCATATTGATATCTGTGCAAACTGCTAGATGCGGCAACATTTCAACAGCATTTAATTATGCATGCTCTTACTAAGATGTATATAAAAACTAGGGTTTTTGAGCTCCAAAGACACAGAACTGGACTGTTAAGAAATCAGTGCAGAAAACTATGATACTTACAAGACATGTGCTAGGAATTTACTGAGTGACATTGACACTTGCTCACAAGGTTGAGTTTGTTATCCTGTTGTGATCAATTTTTAACACATCATCTTTAATATGTTATGATTTCTTTTTCAGGAATCTTCACTGCTGCAATTGCTCTTTTCACTGATTTAAATGTCCTCCTCAATCTGGTATCAATCGGCACACTATTTGTCTTCTACATGGTGGCTAATGCTGTAGTTCACAGACGTTACGTAGCCATAGGGACGACCAATCCGTGGCCTACATTAGCCTTCCTGTGCTCATTTTCCTTGACCTCTATCCTATTCACTCTCATTTGGCACTTCATGCCACAAGGCAAGGGAAAAGCCGTTATGCTCGGTGCTTGCGCGGTGATAGCGATTGCAATAATACAGCTCTTTCGTTGCTCGGTGCCACTAGCAAGTAAGCCTGAATTTTGGGGTGTTCCATTGATGCCATGGATACCATGTGTATCTATCTTCTTGAACATATTCTTGTTGGGGTCTCTTGGGGGTCCGTCCTATGTGCGGTTCGTCTTCTTTTCAGCTCTTGCTGTGCTTGTATATGTTCTGTACAGTGTCCATGCTAGCTTCGATGCTGAAGCAGAAGGCTCTTTCGGTCAAAAGAATGGTGGGATTGTGAAGGAATCAGGAGAGAGCGATCAGGACCCTAGTTTCAAAGTGTAAAAAAATTGTCTTTCTCATTTACCTTTTCCTTGGTAGTGACCTCTGCTTTTTGAGTGGTTGATGGATACCAGGGGAGAAAAAGGAAGGCTTAGAATAGAAGGAATTTTGCCTAAGTGGCTGCTTGTATAGTTGGTGAAGGGAGGTGGACTTGAAATTAGGCTGTGTGATCCTTTGTACATCAGCTCATGTGATCCATCAACTACTATTAAATTTGCTCGTTTGACTTGAACAGTTCATGAATGAAGCGTAGCATAGAAAAGAGAAGTCATTTCCATTGTGTTTTTACCGTAGTAACTAATCCTGGCCGATGATGGAGCCATGATGAGTTCCTTCTGGTTAATTTGGATCGATTGGACTCAATTAAAAGGTTACAATGACATCAATTTGAATCTGTTTTTCAAAATAAAAGTCAATTTGGGTGAATCAGAGACTATATTAGAGAATATATTGGTTTCTTCTCGAATCGACTTAAATCGAGTTTAACATTAAACATGGTTTTTACTCCTTCCGTTGGATTTACTTCTGTTATAGTATTTTGATAATTTGAATGGGAAAAAAAGGGGGGATTTTGACAGTGAATAAAAAAAGGGATTTTGTTTAAATATACTCCGGGAATGATGATCTTCATGATCAAATTGAATTAAAGAAATGGGGTTTGAGAATAAATCAAAAGTGAGAAAAGTTCGATATGATGTCACTTTGAAAAGGAAAAGATGCTTTTGCATAATTTCATGATTATTGAAGCTGATTGCCTAATTAAATACAAATTGACAAATAACAAGAGATTTCTTTACCAAGCTACAAGGGATAGAGTTAGAATCATGGTGTAGATGGTTGATAGAAAAGAACAATTTCCCCAATGTCTTGTCACTCCTTTCTTAAAGCTCCATTAACCGACCTGCAATGAAAACTTGAGCTCGGGCAAATCATGTCGATCGCAAGGTCGATACGAGTGGAGTGGTCTTGCCTAATCATGAAGCTCATTTTCCACTTTCTTTTGACTGTGACCATAATCGATGCAATTAAGATATAAGTTTGATTCATAGGTGAAGTGCTCTTCAGATATATCCTTCAATTAATGCTTTTTGGTGACGACTTTTTGTTATTACAACCACCGAATCTAACGAATTTAATCTAATCTTTTTATACTTTCTGTGTATCAAACTTGGAATAAGTTACTCATTGATAATCATGTGTGTATGTGTGTATATATATATATTTATTTTGTTTTTTTAGATTGGAATCATGGACCTCCGTCAGCGTCTTAGGAACTACACTCGGACCTCTTATCCCACCACCGTGCCTTTAATAAACCATGCTTCAGAATTCTTACCCTAAAAATTGAAGTGAGAAAAATGACGTTGTCCTTCTGTACTTAATAAGGGTCAAATTCTATTCTGATTCTCCTCCAACCCCCTCCTCCATATATACTTGATTTTAACAGTAACGAAAAAGTTTGTCAATCTTGTATCATCTCACTTTGATTTTTTACTAAAAACAATAATATAGCTCTAAAACTTGTATTGGCCTCGCAAGTCCGTCAAAACCGGTCGAGATGGAATAAAGAATTAATAAGATGTAATTCAATTAAAAACTTTAATTAACCTGGTTAACTAATTAAATTCCAATGATAAAATTCATTGATTTTATTTTGTTTTAGCAAAACTACACAATTTTTTTTATAAATTTTATAAATAAGTTAATCTTTCCAACCCAGCCATGAAACAAGCTTTGTACTAAGTCAATTCTAAGCAGGGCTTAATATCTCTCGGGTGCATGGTAAGCTCTGTACTAAGTCAATTCTAAGTAGGTTTTAATATCTCTCGGGTGCATGGTGAGAGGGTTTGACTAATTACAAAATCTCATTTTCTCTTCTGATTTATTTGGTCAATATCGGATAAGATTTATGCTCCATGATCATCTTGAATAAAAGTAGGGCAGAGGATGCCTACAACGAGAAGTGGGCAGCAAATGGAGGTTTCCACTAAATGGATTCTCTGCAAATAAAAGGTGAAAAGGGAAATGAGAAGACCAATCCAAAAATAATTCAAGTGATGTTGTGGTGCTCATATTCTTTTACTTTATGAGCAGATTCACCCTCTTTTTTTTCAGAAAATAAAACAAATCCCTGAAAAAATGTATTGTAAAAGATAAAATATATTTCTCAAAATACTATATTGTAAAAGATAAAATATATTTCTCAAGGTAATGCCATGTCAATAGATCTTGCCATAAAGATGAAGAACGATGCGTTGCTTATATTATCTCCACAGACTCTTGAACTATAAAAGAAGATGAAGATGCCCACCCATCACACCACTTTCAGCTGACTACCCCAACAAAAAAAAATCACAATCGAGTCCTCCATCTAATTGGACGTTAGTCAACCATCCATGTAAAATTTGGGACGTAAATGATTGGATGGTATCATGGTAGGGGTGTTAAGGGGGTTATGTCTGATCACACGGGGGATTTAATTGGGATAATCATTTGTCGGGGGACTCAATCAAGATGGAGTAATACTTGGGGGGCATATTTGCCCTCTCCCATTTCAACAAATTATCCTATTTTCTACTTCCAGCTTTAAGGTTTCTATCATTATTTTTTAATAAAAAAATTGGTTTAATATTTTCATTTGGGTGGGTATAACATGTTTATCTGATTTGATTTTAAGCAAGATACTAACTCAAAAATTTTGTTCGGCGGTGCGTGATTAAGTAGCTTTAAATGCATGTTTAGATTTGAGGTACAATGAGGTGTGATTAAGGTTTTTTTAATTATTTTTTTAGATAATATTTGAAAGTATAATAACAATTATTTTTTAAAATATTTTTAATTTTAAAAAATAAAAATTTATAACACAATTAGAACAGCATCTCAAAACACAAACCACACCTTTCTGTGAGCTAAAATTACACTCTATTTATTGCTTTTTTATATATATATATATATATATCCACGGGAAAAACACCCAGCAAAACCTCGCCACACTTTTCCCAAAAGAGTTGCGGTGTTATCACTGTCGCAGCCACACAAAAATCACGAGATACCTGCCACCGCAAATCGGCAGTACGCTTTGACAGACAATATAGATAGGTATGAAAGGCACAGCTCAGTAAAGCAAGGCATAGGAAAGAGATAGTGAGCGAGGATAAATGATGGGGCTGGGCCGGCCGGCCGGCTGGAATATCTCTTATTTGGCCCCTTGCTAGTTACTTTCAGTTCAGAATACGGTGATGATTCTATGAAAAGACATCCCCTTCCAGAAGATAATGCTGCTCAACTGGTGAGGATTTTGTAAGTGGAGAGTTGAAAAATTAAAGCTGATACAGAGTCTTGGTCGTGTAATTTTCAGTGTAAGAACACGAGGGTCCACAAGATTTGTGCCTTTGTGGATTTGCAGATTTTGCCTTCTTTTGTACCTCTCCTGCTTGATTTTCCATGCCAGCAGGTTGACAATCTGGGTCTACCTTCCCTCATGTCACAGTCTCCGTCGTCATCATCATCTTGGGGAGCTTTTTGAACCAGCTACCATCAACTTGCTAGCTACGATGACATGCAATTCCTTGTCAACGAGATTCTTTTCCCCCATTATTTCACCTACTTTACTTTAGAAAAAAAAATCTTCATTCCACGTTTTGAGATTATATTTTTGAAAAAAAAATTATTTTTTATTTTTATTTTTATTTTTTAAAATTATTTTTATGTATTGATATAAAAATAATTTGTATTGATATAAAAATAATTTTAAAAAAATATTATTTTAATATAATTTCAAGAAAAAACACTTTAACTATATTTCCAATCAATCCCAAGTTTATTTAATTTCTTGTAAGTGTCCATTACAACATAAATTACCGGTGGTTGTACTATTTCAGGTAAGATAAAAAATAGAATAATTAAAAACTTAACTAACCTACTAGATTGACTGGGGATCTATTTAACTTGCCGAGTTGACTAATAACTAGGATGACCAAGCAAAATTCAGTTGATATTTTTTTTTAATATGTTTTTTCTTTTAAAGAAATACTATTTTTTTATATGTTTTAATTAGTTATTAATACTTTTTAAAATTTATTATATGAAAACTAATATAATATTTTTATTTTTTATATAAAATATTAAAATTTTAAATATTTGATTTTTATTTTTTAAAATCAATTCAAGGAACTCGATTAATTTACATAACTCAGGATCCAGCTTTTTTTAACCCGATCAATCCTAAAAATCAAGGATGATAACTATCGTCAATGACATCACGAGACTCGCTGGATTTAATCGAAGCACATTTTAAAAGGCCTTAAGGCCTATTTAAGCACTATTTGCCTTTCCTTGCCAAGACTAGAGAAAGCAAGTCTGTCCCCAAGAAAGAAATGAACAAACATCGTTTGCTAGGACATGAATACTTTTGGGATCATTTGCAGCAAGAAGAGATTCAGTGAAAATTTTATTGTCTACTGTAAACACTTCTGTTCCTTAGGTAACGCTACCAAAAAACCTGAAATTATAACTCAACAAGACTTTTTCTTTGATGCCACCAAAGTATTAAAGTTGCATTCTTTACTACAATCCTGTGCAAACAATCGAGAACCCATTATAGGGAAGGCGTGCCATGGACAAGTTATTCGATTGGGGTTAGAAACAGATACCTTAACATCAAACATGCTAATGAATATGTACTCGAAACGTGGTCTCATTCGTCGTGTTTGTAAGGTGTTTGATGAAATACCTGAGAGAAGTATGGTTTCATGGAATATAATGATCGGTACTTGTGTACAGAATGGAGAGGAGGAAAAGGCTATCGACATTTTCTTGGAAATGCAAAGAGAAGGAAGCCCATGCAGTGAATTCACGGTTTCTAGTGTTGTTTGTGCTTGTGCTGCTAAAGGTGATGTCTTTTTCTGCAGGCAATTGCATGCTTTTGCTATCAAGGTTGTAGTGGATGCTGGTGTTTTTGTGGGTACTGCATTGATTGATGTTTATGCAAAATGTGGGTCGATTGAAGAGGCAAGTTGTGTTTTTGAAGGGATGCCTGAGAGGAATGATGTTACGTGGAGTTCAATGGTGGCAGGGTTTGTGCAAAATGAGCTTTATGAAGAGGGCTTGGTGTTGTTTGCTAGAGGGAAGGAAATGGGGCTTGAAAATAATCAGTTTATGATGTCATCCGTTATTAAGGCTTGTGCAGGGTTGGCAGCTTTGATTGAAGGGAGGCAGGTGCATGCTATTGTTTGTAGAACTGGTTTGGGTCCAAATAATTTTGTTGCTTCCGCTCTTGTAGACATGTATGCCAAATGTGGTAGCATAGAAGAGGCTTATGTTGTGTTTTGTAATGTAGAGAGAAAGAATGTTGTCTTGTGGAATGCTATAATTTCCGGGTTTGCTAAACATGCTTGCTCTTCGGAAGTGATGAATTTATTCGAGGAAATGCAGCAGACGGGTATGAAACCGGATGAAGTGACTTATGTTGCAGTATTATCCGCATGTGTTCATGTAGGTTTGGTGGACAAGGGACGAAGCTATTTCGACCTTATGACAAGAAAGCAGAGCGTGTCACCAAATGTACTTCATTATTCATGCATGGTTGATATTCTTGGCAGGGGAGGACTGGTTCATGAAGCTCACGAGTTGATGACGAAAATGCCATTTGCTGCTACTGCTTCAATGTGGGGATCACTTTTAGCCTCTTGCAGGATTCATGGGAATCTTGAATTAGCTGAGATTGCAGCTAAGAACTTGTTCGAGATGGAACCTGATCGTGGAGGAAACTATGTTCTACTGGCAAACACATACGCTGCTAGTAAAAAGTGGGGGGAAGCTGCAAAAGCAAGGAAGTCCGTCAAAGGGAGTGAGATCTTGAAGGAGAGGGGCAAGAGTTGGATCGAAATTAAGGACAAAGTTCACACTTTTATGGCTGGCGAGAGAACCCATCCTAGAATAACTGATATATATTTAGAGTTGAATAACTTGCTAGAAGAGATGACTATATTAGTTAATAAGGCTGAGACTGACTTTGACCTTCATGATCTGTAAGATAGCTGAAAGCGAGAACTTCTGAGCCACCACGTCCATAAGCTAGCTCTTGCATTCGGGATTGCCATTCTTTTATGAAGCTTGTTTCTAGAATTACTAAATTATATTTTAGTGGCATGCAAATTAAAACTAATCTTTTAATTTTATAAAATGTTAATGCACCAAAAATATAATAAATTTGTCCATTAGATTGCGTTTTATTGCTGTCCTGAAACAGAAAAGACAAACGTTAAAGATTAAAATTGTTTTTTAGAAACATATCCTCTGAATATCACATTTTAAAACTATAAAAAAATATTCTAAAATTATTATAAAAATAAATTTATTTTTATGTTTTTGTTCCTCCAACTAAATAAGTTTATATTTCTGTTATATCTGTTTTTCTGTATTAAACCAGTAACTGAACATGATTTTAATAATACAAAACTTATTAAATTTATTTATATTATACCTATAGATGCCTTTTCAAATTCCGAAACAAAAATTTTACGGGCAACAATTGGTTTCACCTTAGCTTAATGAACTAAATATCTCTCTCTTTTTATTTTTTTGGGTGGGGAGGCCCGAGTTCCATGACTCAATCGAAGTCCGAGTTATAAATTGAATAAACTAACCTGATTTAATTTAAAATTATATCATTTAAAATTAAAAATATTATTTTTTAAAATCAAATCAAGTTTTTATCACGTTTCTTCTAATAAACTTACATTTCTAACTAGATTTTACATTAATAAATTACCGTATTAATCTACTAGATAGATTTGGCAAGACGAGGTTTAATAACATGAACTTCACCTGCTTTATCCATATCCATTAACAAAAATTTCACTCACCCCGTCAAAAGATTGATTCTATTAAAACAAAATTGTGAGGGAAAAAAAAAAAAAACGAATGAACTTAAGGTAAAGAGTAGTGGGCTTCTTATCCCCCAGCCCAAAAAACTTAATAGGCCTTCTATTTCATACACCTAAAAATGAACCCAGAAGAACAGCCCGTTAAGTTCTTAACAAAATAGTGGCTAGCAGGCGCAAACCCTAGACTGCTTATATACCTGAAGAAGACTCTCTTCCTCCTTCCCATAACGCCGCAGCAGCACCTCGGTATTCGTCATCGGGGCTCTCCTTGCATCCTGAAGGTAACTTTCACTTCTTTCTTGCTTCGTGTTTCTTTAGTCACCACCTATATCTCGTGAAACCTTCAGTATCTTTTAGTTTGTGGGATATCTGTTTACTTAATCATTTTTTTGAAAAAAAATATGGTTTTTGTTGTTGCTTTTGTGTGTGTTTGATCTGTTTGGTTGCTAAGAGAATGTGGGATAAAGGTGTTGTTTTTGGGGTTTTTTTTTCCTGCTTTGGATATTTAGTTTCTTAGTAATGGGACTGCAAAACTGTTCTTAATATTACTTTTTGCTGAAGAATTTTTTTAGTAATTGATTTGTTTGCTGAGAAAGTATGAGAACTGGAACAAGTTTTATTGATTACCTTATTCATTTGAATGAATAAAGAATCCTAAGAGTTACGATTTTTTTTTTTGAAAATTATTGTTGTTTTGATGGTGGGAAGCTTTTGAAGTTTTGATTTATTGTCTGTAATTTGATGTTTAGCTTACACTGGATGTGGATTTTATTTCCCTTTGCCCATTACCCTTTTTTTTTTTTTAGAATAGTTCCGACCGTGATCAACACAGTATCACTGTGGGTTTCCAGCTCTTTTTAAACTGGAAAACAGGATGTTTTATCTGACATGCCCCATACTTTGAATAGAATATGTATTATTTTGCTATTCATGGTCTTTGAGGAGCTTTTGTGGAGCTCCTCTCTTCAATGAATTATATGAATAGCATTGACAATTCAAGCAGTCCTCTTGTAGCTCCATTGCATTTTGGATGTCATGTCATCATGTGTGAACTTAGAGTTGTTAATGGTGTTTTGTCTTTAGATCATTAAAAATGTAGTTTCTCATGTTTTGCTTTTATGTTTCCTTGAAAGGAAAAGACAATCACCATTACAGTTTCCCATTACAGTTTCAGTTGCTCTTCTCTTAGCAGCAGCAGCAGCTTATTAGCTAAGATGGGTCGTGTTCGTACCAAGACAGTGAAGAAGTCTTCACGCCAGGTCATTGAGAGGTACTACTCTAAAATGACCTTGGATTTCCACACCAACAAGAAGATCTTGGAAGAGGTTGCTATCATCCCCTCAAAGCGTCTCCGCAACAAGATTGCTGGGTTCTCTACCCATCTAATGAAGCGTATTCAGAAGGGACCAGTTCGTGGCATCTCACTGAAACTACAAGAGGAAGAGCGTGAGCGTCGCATGGATTTCGTGCCTGAGGAGTCTGCCATTAAGATCCATGAGATTAAGGTTGACAAAGAGACCATTGACATGCTTGCTGCTCTTGGTATGTCAGATGTTCCTGGGCTTGTTGAAGTTGAGCCTCAGCCAATGCTTCCCACTCAGGGATTTGGTAGAGGAGGTGGTGCTAGGAGGTTCTTGAGTTAAATAAACCTCCACAGGATGTTCGAGTGCAAGAACTTTAAATATCTCGTCTTGTCTTTTTGTAGTGCTCGCTTTAAGTGTCTGTTATGGATATTACCCTCAGTGGGTATGGGTACTTGATTGTTTAAAACTGGAGATTTAGTTGATTTTGCTGTTAAAGAATGATATTTTTAGTTGATTTAAACCTGTCTTCTAATGCCATTTTTGTTATGTGCTCAAGTACGTGAACACCTTGCATTTCAGTTTTATTAGGCATCATTACTCTGAAGAAAGTGTAATTTGTTCTACCCTGGATTTCATCAAGCAAGCTGTAGAACCCCCTATGTTCAATGGTGACTCGCACGCTATTGTTCCTTACAAGCGTGTGCCGCTGCAGAATGATTTATCTCTTCACGTGCAAGAATTCCTAATACCAGTTGGTAGATGTTTGCCCATGTTCAACGGTGACTAGCCTGCTATCGTTCATTACTGCAGAATGATTTTTCTTTTCATGTGCAAGCATTCCTAATACCAGCGGGTGGGTTTGCAATGTGCAGAGTGCCCAAGGCTTTGATTCATCCCCTATATTTTATCATAAAGGTGTATGCTACACCGACAATGCTCCACTGAGAATTGAGCACTTCCATTAGGTGAAAGGTTGCCTAGGCAAGTTTCCCGTCGACGAACTCCATGCGCAATACCAAATCAGTGTTTCAGGCAGTGTTTAGGCGAGAATAGTGAAGAGAGTATCTAGATCTTTATTCTATCTGAAAACCGTAATTAAATATTTTTTTATCTGGAAACAATAATTAAATACTCTATTCTATATATATATTTTGGAGTTTCTAACATATTTACTTGTTTTTTAAAATATTATTTATTTAAAAATATATCAAAATAATATTTTTTATTTTTTAAATAAATTTTAATACCAATACATTAAAATTATCTAAAATTATAAAAAAATATCAATTTAAAACAAATAAAATAAAATATATTTAATTTTTTTAAAAACTATTTTAAAATACAAATACAAACAGGCCAATTAAGGCGATGTGCCCAAAGTTTCAAAAACTACCACTGCTACCCTCCATTTCCTCAGTCTCAACATTAAACAGATGATGGATATTTCGCCACTCTCCACCACCCCACGCTTCCCTCATTCTCCCACTTCCTTCTCCTCCTCCATCGCGACCACAACTATTTCTTTCTCCCTCAAACCAACACCTCCACCACCACCAGAACCCACCAATTCTTCCTCTATTCGCCGTCCCAAATCACTCACTCCAACACCATCCACCACCTCGACCCAAAACCCAACCCCCCCTCAATTCCTCAAGAACCCTCTCAAAACCCTCCTCAACCCCTCCAAACCCTCAGTAACAAGCACCACCACCACCAACCCTCTTTCTCTCTCCACCAAACTCCGCCTCTCCAGCAAACTCTCGCCCCCTCCTCCTCCATCACCGCCGCCGCCGCCAATAGAAATACTTCAAACCCCAGAAAAGACTCAAAAGATAGAAAATGAAGCCCCCAGAATTGAATTCTACCAAAATGGGAAGATCTTTATAGGAAATTTACCAAACTGGATAAAAAAACATGAACTTTCTGAATTCTTCCGTCAATTCGGGCCTATAAAGAATGTAATTTTGATCCAGAGTCATAATGAGACTGAAAGGAATGCGGGGTTTGGGTTTATTATCTATGATGGTCCAAAAGCAGGGAAGTCTGCAATGAAAGCTGAGGAATTTGATGGAATGGAGTTTCATGGGAGGGTTTTGACTGTGAAATTGGATGATGGGAGAAGATTGAAAGCGAAAGCAGAGGAGAGAAAGAATTGGGTTTATGGAGAGGATGGAAAAGATTATAGGCCTAAATGGCATGAAGAAGGAGAAGGGTCTACGAAGGCTTTTCGGAAGGTTTTAGACACGCAACCGGAGAATTGGCAGGCAGGTGTTAGTGCTTTCGAAAGGATTAAGAAGGTAAAAAGTGCCAGACATTCTTCTTTGTTAGACTGGTATTTTTTTTTTTTATAAAGTTGATTAAGCAGAGAAAATGTGTGACCTATAAGAATTATGTCTTCAAAGAGTAGGAAGCGATGGATTCCCTGATTATTCTTTGTTTGACAACACATTTATAACAATGACTTGTGCAGATTATAGTAACCATGGTCTAAGTGGAGAAACATTAACTTTTAAGGGAATGATTCATGCTTAATGGCTTAATTCATAATGCATATGACTTCTATAATGATGGAAAATGTTGCATAATCATATCATGCGTGACCTTTTATATTTAAGAAAGTTATAATAGCTTTTACTTGGTCATTTATAATGTTTGTTTCCTCTTTTTTTCACATCATTTTACTAGCCTTCTAGAAGGGATTTTGGATTAATGGGGGGTTACTATGCAAGGCGAGGGGATATGCATCGTGCACGACAAACTTTTGAGAGCATGCGAGCAAGGGGAATGGATCCCAGCTCACATGTCTATACGAGGTAAAATTTCTGATAAAACATCTTTAGTATTGCTTCTGTATGATTTAAGTTGAATTAACTTCTTCATGAGCTTCTTCATCTGTTGAAATACTGGTCACCCATCCAAATTGTATTGGATACATACATATTATGTGAACAATGTGTCTGGATGCAAATTATATTTTAGGAAGCAAACATTCCGAGGAAGATTTCACTCTGAGTTATTCAAACAAGATTGTAGGACTCTCAGCTTTGAATATTGTACATTATTTATGTGTTTATTTTTCATTCATGTTGTTATTCATTTTTCTGGTAAATTGGCAATGTCTGTTAAAGACTGCTTCCCAAGTGTAAACTATGTTCAATTAACAGGAACTTGGTTCCTCATATTTTTTGAGGATAATAGTTATGTACTTTAATTTTCTTCTTTTGGCATTAAAGTTATTTATTTCATGCAGCCTTATTCACGCTTATGCAGTTGGTAGAGACATGGAAGGAGCACTGTCTTGTGTTAGGAAAATGAATGAAGAGGGCATTGAAATGAGTCTGGTGACTTATAGCATAGTTATCGGAGGATTTGCCAAAATCGGCAATGCTGAGTAAGTAAATATTACCTTTAGTACATTTTTTCTTGAGGAATGTATCTGTTTCATTAACTTTGCTCTTGGAAAGTATCCTTTTATATGCCAGAGTAATATATCTGCCAGTTTTGAAGCCTCTCTCTCTCTCTCTCTTAACTTTTTTTAAGCTTTTTTTTGTGTTTTTATTTCTTATTCACGTAGTGGTTTATTCTTTGAACTAAATTATTTGTAGTTTTTTATGGGTTGATCAACATATAAAAGCTTTGATGAATATGCTTTAAACTTCAGCATTGTAACTCGTTCCTGTCTTTACTTTCTATATAGCAAAAAATTGCAACTTTGGTTTTTGTTTCAGAAGTTCCTCTCTGTTCTAATAATAACTTAAAAAGTTGATTTTGAAGAGCTGCAGATAGCTGGTTTAAGAAGGCCAAAGAGAGGCATACGAATTTGAATGCATACATTTATGGGAACATTATATACGCTTATTGGTCAGTATTAAGTTTCAAATTCAAGTCTATGTTAATTTTCTTATTGTTATATTTATACTTATAAATATGCTAACGAGTTCCATGGCTATAAATATGAGGTCAAATACATATGTTCTAGCTTTTTAAGTCTGCTTTTACTCTATATATATGTGCTCATATAACCATTAATAATTTTAGGGCTATTGTTGGTGAATTTGTCAAGTCTCCCACTCCCAAGTGCAATTATTGGGGTCCAAGTCTTTGGGGTGCCAACTTTATTAAATTATTGAAGGTTAGGACCATATAGGACCATATAAGGACCCATTGTCAGTTGCATCATTTGTGGGCAAAGGCCTTTGGTATGTGTTGAATGGATCCTTGGAGGATATGCTTATTGAACCAGGTTGCATGCTAAAATTTGTATCTGTCATCTTTTGTCTACACATTATACTTTACACTTTCTGTTAAATCTTTTCCAAGTTTATGAGTTGCTTACATAAATTCATAATAGCTTCACTCCTCATCTATTAATTACAGTCAGGCATGCAATATGGATCGAGCTGAAGCTCTGGTGAGAGAGATGGAAGAAGAAGATATAGATGCACCTCTTGACATATATCATACCATGATGGATGGTTACACTATGATTAGAAATGAAGAAAAATGTCTTATTGTATTTGAAAGGCTTAAGGTAACAAGATGATGATGATGATGTCATAGAGTTTATCCTGTGAAGTGATCATTTGTGTGCTTCAGTTTTGTAAGTTTTATTTCCGTTGGAGATATGTTCTGTGTCTTTTAGCTTCATTGATCCGCAAAGCATATTTGTCAAGTTTTGCAACTGTTTCATGTAAAAAGTGTTAAAAAACTTCTTAGAAAGAATCTATTATCTAGTTGTTAAGCACCTCTATATGTAATGAAAATTCTATAATTTTCAGATAAATCTAGCTTGTGTATAACTTAATAAGCAGTTTTCTTCATGATTCATGCTGGAAGTTTGAAATGTTGAATAATCTAAAATTCTTAGTCTGCATTGGGCTTAATGTTTTCTGATCAAGTTTTGTTTGCTATACTACGTGTCGTGCAAATTCTTCAGTGGGCTCTCCTTTACAAGTGTCTTTAAGATGCACGTGAAAGGTTTAATAAGATGTGAACTTTGTTACCAAGAGAGCAACAAATAAATGATAGTGGAAAAACATTTTTGTGAAAGTAAAGCATCAAGTCTTCCTTTGTTCCATGGTTTGATTAGTGAGAATATGGAACACTTCACAAATGTTTAGATATGTGTACATACTTGTGCATGTATGCTTGTATGGACTGGCCTGAGGAAATTGCAAAGGAGTGTCAACTTTTAAGATTCTGTTGACTACCTATTGAAGCAAGAAATTGAACTTAGGTCAAATTTCTGGCAAAATACCTTGTTGAAGACTGCTTTAATTATGTGCGCGCTCGTGCGCACGCGTGTGGGTGTCAAGTAAAGGTGTCAGAGGACACAATCCAGGAAGTAGCAAAATCCATATAGGGTTAATGCCTGATCAGTGGTTGATGTTTAAATAATGTTTGATAACATGTAATTGCAAAGCTTCACCTTTTCCTTTAATACTCTTCCATGAAGAATTACATGAATTGTGCTATAATTCATATCTTATTTATAGTCCCGTCATACTAAATTGCTATATGCATGCTGTAGGAATGTGGATTTGCTCCTTCAGTGATCAGTTACGGATGTCTCATCAATATGTATACCAAGGTAAGCCTTTTGTCGTTTCACCTTTCTGCTCTAAAATTTTTGCATCTTTATTCTATTTTGAAGCTCCCTCGCACATAAGCCTATTGAAGCAATCTGACACCAAAATGCTTGGAATTTAAGGAAAGGGAAGCCCTAACTCAAGATAGTACCATATAAACATTCTGGACAAAACTGGGTGGAGCTAAGTATGTCATTGCTCAAATCAAATTGATTTATAATTCATTGCACAAAGGATAATATAAAAAAAACATAAATTGGAAGAATGAACTCAGATATTTGAGTCCATGGAAAGTAAAAAGCTGTGGTAAGTCATAAAAGAGATCTTTTAGATGTCTGCATTCATTTGTTTTGACCTTCTCTTGGAGTTGTGTCCTGAAAGAGTGGGACATGGAGACAGTTTTCTGAGTGGACTAGAAAGATGATCATGTTGGAGGATTGCAGGTGAATTTGTTTGTTGACAGAGCTTATGGATTCAGTGCCAAGAAAGCTGGGGTCCAGTCCATTTGAATGTCTAAATGCTCTCATAGAGTTGGGCATCAGGTGGTCTTCCAGCACCATAATTTTTCTTTTCTGAATATACTAGAAGAGCGATCATGAAGGAGGATGCAGGGGAATTTGTTTGTTGTGACGGCTTATGACTTTAGTGCTAAGAAGGCTGCAATCGAGTTCAATTGAATTGGAATCTTCTGAAAGTTTGACATCAGGTGTCCTTCCTGCAAGCTAATTTGAGGTTAAGAAAGATTGAGAGAAGGCTGAGAATTTTAGAAGAGGGACGCTAGCAGAGTTTTCTTAGTTGAGGATTTTGACCATTCATGTTTTGTTGTGCTCTGCTGTTCAAACTTTCTTAATCCTTGTGCTTTATGAAAGTACAGTGTGTCTTCTTCTTCAATATTATTCATTGAATTTTGCTGCTTGAGTTCTGTATTTTGTTACATGTATAGTTGCTCCTCACTCGTGCTTTGTAGTTAAGTTGGTATCTCTAGTCTTCTGTTTAATTGACGATCAAACATCACATCCAAACCTCCTTTTCAGATTGGTAAAGTTTATAAAGCCCTGGAGGTTAGCAAAATGATGAAATCTGTTGGCATAAAGCATAACATGAAGACATATTCCATGTTGATCAACGGGTTCTTGAAGCTAAAAGATTGGACCAATGCATTTGCAGTTTTCGAAGATGTTATCAAAGATGGTTTGAAACCTGATGTTGTCCTCTATAATAACATCATCAAAGCGTTCTGTGGAATGGGAAATATGGATCGTGCCATCCATATGGTGAAGGAAATGCAGAAGGAAAGATGTAGGCCTACTTCACACACATTTATGCCCATTATACATGGATTTGCAAGAGCTGGAGAAATGAGGAGGGCCCTAGAAATTTTTGATATGATGAGGCGGAGTGGGTGCATCCCAACTGTGCATACCTTCAATGCTTTGGTTCTTGGCCTTGTTGAGAAGCGTAAGGTAAACTATGCATATGATGTAATGTAGTGTTGGAACCTGGTCAGACCAGATTCCAACTTTGACAAATAGACTAGGTAGTGAAAAGAACTTTTTTGTTGATGTCATGGTGTGTGCTGTATAACTAATTTAGCACGGACTTCTTTCAACATTGTTGGATTTGTTAGGAAAGGAGCGGTTGTCTATAGCATTGCTGAAGTGTCTGAAAGACTTCCTAAATATGTGTCCTTCACCTTCAGGGTACATAGAAAATCTCGAAAGTCTGCTTGCATGAACAGCATTGTGATGAGTAATTTACTATATCTATTTGTGGGAGTTATTAAGACTCTTACACCCCCATATATTTGGTGGAAAAATTTAACCTCTCTTCCTGTTTTGTGAAACATTGTTCCCATCATATCCTTCAGTTATTTGATCGACTTAAGTCACTTCTTGAGATGCTTAGTGAAGTTCCATTTTGGTATATGTGGAATAATATCAGCAGTTTTGAAAATTGAATTATGTTTTTTCCTTTGGTGAATGTTGTCTTCTCTAGAAGCCTATATTCAGTAATGTTCTCTTTTTTGACGCAACTATATTTATCTTGTGTATCTTATAGATGGAGAAGGCTGTTGAAATATTGGATGAGATGGCACTGGCAGGTGTAAGTCCAGATGAACACACGTACACAACAATCATGCATGGTTATGCAGCATTAGGTGATACTGGAAAGGCCTTCGAGTATTTTACCAAAATGAGAAATGAAGGACTACAGCTTGATGTATTTACATACGAGGCACTGCTCAAGGCATGTTGCAAGTCAGGCAGGATGCAAAGTGCTTTAGCAGTTACAAGAGAGATGAGTGCTCAAAATATTCCAAGAAACACCTTTGTCTATAACATATTAATTGATGGGTATGGATTATTGTCTATTACTCTAAAATTTGTGTTCTGAGAAGAGTTCTAACCTCTTTAATATTATTGAAATTAATGTATTCTCAGAAACTCCTCTAATCTCCCCCTACTTGTTCCGGTCAGATATGTTGTCCACATGTATTTCCAATAACTTGATTCAATTGTTTCCTGATGTAGATGGGCTCGAAGAGGTGATGTTTGGGAGGCTGCTGACCTTATGCAACAAATGAAGCAAGAAGGGGTTCAACCTGATATTCATACCTATACATCGTTTATAAATGCTTGTTGCAAGGCTGGAGATATGCTGGTATGCTTTGCTGATCAGTCATTAGTCAGTTTGTTTTTTACTTAGCTAGTAAAGAGCACACTGAATGCATTCTGAACTTGAATGGTGATAACAAGCATTTCATTCTAAATTTCTGTAGCTCTTGCACAGAGAACCTAATTAACATGAGTTCATAGGATTTCATCTGCAGGTGAAAATAATTTCATCTTTTTTTCTTTAGGTGTTAATTCAGCAAATCAGTGCTTCATTTCTTACTTGGGTATGGATTATAGGATGGATTTTTTTATTTCTAGTTATCAGAACAATTTTGACGGCAATATGTGTAAACTACTTGTCATCGGAAGTTTTGTTTCAGTTTTCTCGAAGGCATTAATTATAAGTTAGTGCATCTTTTCCTTTTAATGCATAATAGGATGAGTTTTTTCTCCCCTGTGGCATTCGTCATATGATTTGAATAATCCATATTTTCCAGAGAGCAACAAAAACAATGGAAGAAATGGAAGCTGCAGGGGTGAAGCCGAATGTGAAAACCTACACCACGTTGATTCATGGGTGGGCAAATGCTTCTCTTCCAGAAAAGGCTTTGAGCTGCTTCGAAGAGTTGAAGTTAGCCGGATTAAAGCCTGATAAAGCTGTGTACCATTGCTTAATGACATCATTGCTGTCAAGGGCTACTGTTGCTGAAGCATACATTTACTCGGGGATACTGTCCATTTGTATAGAGATGATAGAGTTTGAGTTGACCGTAGATATGGGGACTGCAGTTTACTGGTCCAAGTGTTTACGCAAGATTGAAAGAATAGGTGGAGAGCTTACACAGACCTTGCAGAAGACCTTCCCTCCTGATTGGAACGCACATCATTCTCTCGAGGCAAACCACGAATCAGATATCAATGATGAACCCAGCATTCATGGTGATAATGACATGTTTTTGGCTGGTGTGAATGATGGAGATAGCGATGATGAGGATGATGATCATCATGACAGCAAGGGTTTTAACCGAAGACTCCGGGTCTAAACCAGGTTAGGAGTCTGGAGTCAAAGCTTGAAACCAATATGATAAAAACTCGAGAGGGTTAGTTTCTCAAGAAATTTTTAAATTCTACCAGCTTCAATTCTCACTGAGCAACATTATCTTTGCCTTCATTAATATTATAGTTGAATGAAAATCAAGATTCAAATTAATTTAACCTTTTTTATATATATAAAAAAATCTTTTCATTAAAACCTTCACTGTTCTTATCCCTCTCAGTTGTTATATCCCTCTATTTCTTTGATGTTGTCATCAAATAGCATCTTTAAATATGTGCAAATATTCACACTCTAGGTGATGTCAAGATTGTCCCGTACTCGAGCTCCCATCCCTTTATATATATATATATATATCATAATTGCTTAGCTTAATTTTATTCTTGGGCTATCAAATAACTGTTAGATAGTGTTAATGCAGTTTTTTCCTTTTTTTCTTTTTATCATATTATATTATACTTTAAAAGGGTGAGCAAAATATTATATGTTTATTATTGTGGATATAAATTTATTACACTATGGACTATATTTTAGATATAGAATGTTTGTATTATAAACAATATTGTAGCATTGTAAAGCGTTGTCTTTGTTGTTTTTTAAATCAAAAAGTGTTGTTAAGAGGTTTTTATTTTTTTAATTGTTTATGCTAAAAGCTGTTGGGTCTGACTTGGCGGCCAAATCTAATATTGTTGGGTCCTGTTGTTTAGCAGGACTTAATAGTATTGACCGAGTTTGTTTCATTTAAAATCTAGACCTGTAACTAGTATGAAGTAAACTGGTCAGCTTGCCAAGTCAACTTATAACTCAAGTGAATTGGGAAAAACTTGATAGAGATTTTTTTTATATTTTTTAATTGTTTATTAACTCATTTCAAAGTTTACTATATAAATACTAAAATAATATTTTATTTTTGTATTGTGGAATTTGAAGTCCTTTTATTATCTAAACTTTATATTCTTTTAATGTGAGATATTTTTTTATTTAAATACTTCAACTTAGAAAAACAAGATAATATCTTTTCAATGTAGGATAATAAATATTTTAAAATAATCTTTTAAACTTAATTGTTTACAAAATATATAGCTTATATTTATATAAATTATTTTTTAATTTTTTCATAAAAATATTAAAACATTAAATATATATTTTTCTAATTTTTCTGAGTTGACTCGAGTCAACCTTTATAACTCGGGACCTGACCCTTTAGCTAGATCAACTCCTAGACCCGCTTTGATAACTATGGTTGCTATGAAATTATATCTTTAAAGAATACAATTAAAAAGAAATAAAGTAATGTACTTGGTTAAAAAATTAAAAAAAATAAATCACCCTTGTTTTATTTTGTTCGGGAGATCCTTTTAAAAAGTATTGATTTTTTTGTTATGTATTTAATTTTTGAACTAATTTTTTTTATTCATCTATGGTTTTATTTTTATCTTTTATATAGATAAATTATGTTTTTGAAAATAAAAAATATTTATTTTTAGATGATATTCTTAATATATATAGTCTTATTTGTTATTTTTCTATTCTTATTTTATTCAATCAATTTAGTATTTTATTTTTTAGATATCATTAATGATTTTTTATTAATTTATTAACATACATAATTCCTAGTTTATTTAATTACATGTGCACATAAATTTTTTGATTTGTCGTATTTTTTGAACTATCAAAATATATTGAAAAAAATTGCATAAATAATTTTTTTTAAAAAATAAAAATATTTAATCTGTAGTGAAGCACATATCATATCTTCTTTTAATTAATTAATTTAAAATTATTTTTGTTTATTCTTACCTTTTGGTTATAGTAAAGTATTTCATTACCTTTAGATACAAAACTGAGATTTACAAAAGTGGAATGAAAATGAAATATACCAGGCTTGACTGAAACAAATCAAAGATTTTGGATGAAAATAAAAAAGATATATATATATAAACCCCGAGAAGCAATAATTAATTGAGATATAATTATGGATATTCTTGTTTATTAATTAATGATAGCATTAATAATGCTATAATATATGATAGCCATTTACACAAGGGGGTATTTATTATCTGTTGTTTGTTTTCTAAATTACAACGGCTATTCAATGTTTCCACTCTGTCTTTATTAAAACGGATCGATTGCATTGCAATAATCTGCATATATGATTCTTTTTTACATTTGTTAAAATACAGTTCAACAACTTTGATTTCTTTTCTGTATTTTTGTCTCATTTTCCCATGCTTTAATTAGAGCTTCATGAATTTCCACTTCAAAAATTGAATCTAATTTTTTTTTTTTTTTTTTAAACAAACCTCACGTACTTGAAAATTCAATATATTAAACGAACCTCACGTACTTGAAAATTCAATATATATATTTTTTTTAATACAAGCATGAAATTGGGTTTGCTACTAATTATGAGTTCTTCCTTACCATAACATCAAAGTATGCTAAATCTTGCAAAATTCCCTCATGAAAATTAACATGAATTTGTCATCCGTTTCATTACATTTTGTCCATTAGCTATTACCTAGAACCATTACAACCTTTGTGAAAAAAAGAAAGGAAAGAAGCTTTACAACCATACAAGTCAGTGTACTCTAAAACCATGTCCTCTAACCCTGTATAAATATGCTTGCTTCTTTGCTATCAGGTCATCAGAATTTACAATGATCTCACATAACCATAAACCACAAAGTTTATGGCATGCTTGCCGAAATGAAGACAAAAATGGTGTGACCAAGAAGGGTGGTCGTGGCAATGATAACATCGGATCACTCATAAATCAATTTCGTCAAGAATCTCATAAATCTCTTGATCTTAATTATCCAATGTTAGAACCAGCTCCACCTTCTCGACCTTGTTTCGAATGGCATGACTTTTTCCACAAGGAGGTAAAGCAGCATGGTGTTTTCTTAATTTTATGAACTGATTTTTATTATTGCTAATTTTTTTGCACTTTCCTTTTCTTATTCTCCAGTTTAATTAATTCTTATCCGGAGAAGAAGTTTTATTTTTCTATTTGGAGCGTGTTTGTTTACGTGTTTCAAAATAAAAAAAATTGTTTTGATTGTTTTTTAAAATAAAAAAAATTGTTCCGATTGTTTTTTATTTGAATCGCGGCGCAAAAAAAAAAACATAAATAAAGGATTAAGGGTGATGCATTATATATATCGATTCTGATCTTATTTATTTATTTGAAGATCGGAATGAGATTTGAGGAGAAGGAAAGAAATGGAAGATGCTTTCCCATAATGGCACAAGAAGGAGAGAGTCCAGGTATTGATTTGAGCCTCAGGCTCTCACTGCCAGGATTGCAGCACCAACAGGACGAAGCATCAAAACAAGTTGGGATCTCATCAAGCCAACGTTCTTGTATGATAATAGACATGAACTCAATGAACAGAACCGACATAACCAAGGTACCTTCACTGGTTTTGATGGGCTGTGCACGTTGCCTCATTTATGTCATGGTTTCTGAGGTAGATCCCAAATGTCCAAAATGCAAGAGAACCGTTTTGGTTGATGTGTTTCGTCACAGGCCAGCAAAGAAGCCAAGGAGGTGTTAGTGTATACATGCATGCTATCTGGCCATGCTTTTGAGTTGGGTTTTGTAGTGGGGGAGGCATCGTGCCATCTTTTGTTTTTTTGCAGCTTTGGGGTGGGTGGGGTTTTGAGCCTGCGTTGTTGTGCTCTCCATATTTCCTATAAGAGGAGATAATAATAATAATTAAGAATCCTTTGTGTTCTTCCAAAAGTGTGAATGATTAGCATTAGTTTTTATGGCTAGTTGGTGTTCTTAGATTAGTTTTTGTATATCCAAAATCTGAAATTAATTCTACTCTTTTTGGATGTGATTAAAAAATACCCATCCACCACCTTAAAATTTAAGTATATATTAGAATTCCTCAAATTATAATTAAACTGTTGTAGCAAGGAAATATCACACCATTTATTCATGGTAAGCATAATTCTACTTAGCCCAAGATTTAACCTAGGTTAGAGTTCAGTCCAGTATTTTTTAAATTAACTCGAATTTATCATAAAATTTTATATTATTTCAAGTAAAAATTAAAAGAGAAGATGTGATAAGTTGAGTATAAATAATATTAGCAGTTGAAGTTTTAAAGAGTATTTGAAAATGCAGACCAATTTGTATTTTAAAAATTTTAAATTTTTTTATATTTTGAATCGAAAAATAATTTTTAAAAAATAAAAAAATTTTGGATCAAAAAATAATTTTTAAAAAATAAAAAAGATATCATTTTGATACATTTTGATATAAAAAATATTTTAAAAGGCAATCAAAATCATACTCCTAGACATCCCCTCTATTTTGATATAAAAAATATTTTAAAAGACAATCAAAATCATACTCCTAGACATCCCCTTAAAAGCTTGTGTGGTAGAAGATTATAAAGTATAATTATTCTCATTAACAAGTTACCAAATTAATTAGACATGTTCTCACGGAAAAAAAAACTATATCCAAAGCTATATTAGTATAATCCATATTTGTTTTAAAAGAAGGACCTGCACTAATATAAAATATATGATTTTAGTAAACCTTTAATTAGTCCCATCTTATTGATTCTGGTTTCGTATAAGAATCTTCTCAATCACATCTCTTGTTTATCTAGAGCTCCTCAATTGGAAAAATCTCTACCAGTTTTTCATAAAATAACATGAAGATTTCTCAAAAAATGAATACTTAATTTTATCGCATAAGTCATGCCCTTTAAGCAGTAATTACACTAATAGATATGGATAAGAGAATTCAATTGAATAATGTATAAAACTTTGGATAATGGATACAATAATGTTTTAGTACTTTAAACATAATTTGAGCATTTTACTTCCTCATATAATTTAAGAATTATGTTCTTGGCACACAAGACGAATGAAAATTCAGTCAAGATAAGATATGCTATCTAAGTTTTTGTACGTATAAGCAATTCTAATCCCCTTGAATAACATAGAACGGTTCTCCATTTAAAGAAGCTCAAGACTTAGCATGCTGTCTGGTTATGTTTTGGAGTTGGGATTTTGTTAAGACGGCTTGGGCTCGAGTCCAGAGCCTATCAACTTAACTTATTAGACCCATTTAAGTTTAATAACTATATATTAATTCAATTAATTTTCATATTCATATACAATCATTAAGAAATTCTTAAATTAACATCATCTCAACTTTTCACTTAAAATGATATAATCTTAGGTTAATCA